TCCTTTGTGCCTTTGGCCCCCCCCCCCCCAAATAGTACTCCACCAGCAGTGGAGAAATGATTCCCTTTCTCCACATACTCTCCAGGATAATCTGTCATTGGTGTTTTTGATTTTGGCCATTCTGACAGGAGTAAGATGGTATTTCAGAGTTGTTTTGATTTGCATTTCCCTGATGGCTAAAGGATATTGAGCACTTTCTTATGTGTCTTTCAGCCATTTTAGATTCCTCAATTGAGAATTGTCTATTTAGTTCTTTACCCCGCTTTTTAATTGGATTATTTGGTGTTTGGTGACTAGCTTCTTGAGTTCTTTGTATATTTTGGAAATCAGCCCTCTGTCAGATGTGGGGGTGGTGAGTGTCTTTTCCCATTCTGTGTCCTGCTGTTATGTCTTATTGACTGTGTCCTTTGCCTTACAAAAGCTTCTTAGTTTTAGGAGGTCCCATTTATTAATTGTTGATCTCAGTGTCTGTGTTACTGTTGTTATGTTCAGGAAGTGATCTCCTGTACCAATTCGTTCCAGGGTACCACCTACCTTCTCTTCTAATAGGTTCAGTGTGGCTGGATGGATTTAGGTTGAGGTCTTTGATCCATTTGGATGTACGTTTTTTGCATGGCGATAGATAAGGATCTATCTGCAGTCTTCTACATGCCAGCATCTAGTTATGCCAGCACCATTTGCTGAAGATGCTTACTTTTTTCCATCATATAATTTTAGCGTCTTTGCCAAAAATCAGGTGCTCGTAGGTGTGTGGGTGAATATCAGGGTTTTCGATTCTATTCCATTGGTCTACCTGTCTATTTGTGTGCCAATACCAAGCTGTTTTTAGGACTTTAGCTCTATAATAGAACATGAAGTCAGGGATGGTGATGCCTCCAGAAGTTCCTTTATTGTACAGGGTTGTTTTGGCTACCCTGGGTCTTTTGTTTTCCATATAAAGTTGAATATTGTTTTTTCAAGGTCTATGAAGAATTGTGCTGGGATTTTGATGGAAATTGCATTGAATCTGTAGATTGCTTTTGGCAAGATTGCCATTTTTACTATATTTATCCTACCTATCCACGAGCATGGGAGATCTTTCCATTTTCTGGTATCTTCTTTAATTTCCTTCTTTAAAGACTCAAAGTTCTTGCTATACAGGTCTTTCACTTTCTTGGTTAGCGTTACCCTAAGGTGTATTATGTTTGTGGAAACTGTAAAGGGTAATATTTCTCTGATTTCTTTCTCAGCCCATTTATTGTCTGTATATAGTAAGGTTACTGATTTTTTTTTAGTTAATCTTGTATCCTGCTACTTTGCTGAAGGTTTTTTATCAGCTGTAGGAGTTCCCTGGTAGAGTTTTTTGGGTCACTTATGTAAATTATCATATCATCTGCAAATAGTGAAAGTTTGACTTTTCCAATTTGTATCCGCTTTATCTTCTTTTGTTGTCTTATTGCTTTAGTTAGAACTTCAAGTACAATATTGAAATGGTATGGAGAGAGTAGACAGCCTTGTCTTGTTCCTGATTTTAGAGGAATGGAGTTGAGTTTCTCTCCATTTAGTTTGATGTTGGCTGTTGGTTTGTTGTATATTGCTTTTATTGTGTTTAGTTATGTTCCTGTTATCCCTGATTTCTCCAGGACCTTATCATGAAAGGGGTGTTGGGTTTTGTCAAAGGCTTTTTCAGCATCTAGTGAGATGATCATGTGGTTTTTCTTTTGCAGTTTGTTTATATGAACTAACCCTGCATCCCTGGGATGAAGCCTACTTGATCATGGTGGATGATTTTTCTGATGTGTTCTTGGATTTGGTTTGCCAGTATTTTATTGAGTATTTTTGTATCAGTGTTCATGATGGATATTAGTTTGTAGTTCTCTTTCTTAGTTGTGTCTTTGTGTGGCTTGGGTACCAAGGTAATTGTAGCCTTGTAAAAAGAGTTTGGCAATGACCCTTCTGCTTCTATTGTGTGGAATACTTTGAGGAGAATTTTTATTAGCTTTTCTTTGAATTTCTGGTAGAATTCTGCACTGAAGCCATCTGGCCCTGGGCATTTTTTGGTTGGGAAACTTTTGATGACTGCTTCTATTTCATTAGGGGTTATAGGTCTGTTTAAGTTGCTTATCTGTTCTTGATTAGGTTTTGGTAAGTGATATCTATCCAGATAATTATCCATTTCCTTTAAATTTTTGAATTTTGTGGCGTACAGGTTTTCAAGGTATGACCTGATGATTCTCTGGATTTCCTCAGTGTCTGTTGTTATGTTCCTCTTTTCATTTCTGATTTTGTTAATTTCCAGTGTTTTACTCTCTGCTGCTTGGTAACTTTGGATAAAAGTTTGTCTATCTTGTTGATTTTCTTGAAGAACCAACTCTTTGTTACATTGATTCTTTGTATTGTTTTCCTAGTTTCTACTTTATTGATTTCATCCCTCAATTTGATTTTTCCTGGTGTCTACTCTTCCAGGGTCAGTTTGCTTCTTTGTGTTCTAGAGCTTTCAATTGTGCTGTTAATTCTGTAGTCTGACTATTCTCCAGTTTCTTCATGTGGGGACTTAGTGGTATAAATTTTCCTCTTAGCATTACTTTCGAAGTGCCCCATAAGTTTAGATATGTTGTGTCTTTGTTCTCATTAAATTCTTGGAAGTCTTTAATTTCTTTTTTTATTTCTTCCTTGACCCAGGAATGGTGCAATTGTGCATTGTTCAGTTTCCATGAGTTTTGCAGGTTTTCTGCAGTTAGTGTTGTTGAATTCTAACTTTAAAGCATGGTGGTCTGATAGGATACAGGGGGTTATTCCAATTTTTTTTGTATTTGTTGAGGTTTGTTATGTTGCCAAGTATGTGGTCGATTTTGGAGATTGTGGTTCCATGTGGTGCTATCTTTTGTGTTTGGATAGAATAACAGATGACTTACTTCTTCCTCCCATTTTACACATACACCTTAGAACATATTTGAAAGCAACTTAATGGTTGTTACACTGAAGGCTGAATCTTCAAGCTTTCTATAGCTATTTCTACTCTCCACTTTCTGTACATTGCAGAATTCTTTATTAAATAAGGACTGCAAGAATCTTGACTTCCTGTATTATTTTTGTGTAATCAGAATACCTAAGGGAGCAATGTATAGAAAGGAAAAATTTATTTTAACTCATAATTTTGGATATTTCAGGCTATACTACTTGATTTTGGTGATTCTGGGCCTGTGGTAAGGCAGAATATCATTCTGGGCTCCTGGTAAGGCTGGCCATTATGCTGGTGATAGTGTGTAAAGGAGGAGGCAGTTCACCTGATGATGGTCAAGAAGTAATTACTGAAAACTAGGTATAATTTACATACATTCTCCAAACAGGTTGTGCCTCCCTAAAGTCTCTAGAACCTCCCACAATAGTGCTACTAGCTGAAGACCAACCAAGCATTCAGCACATAGCCTGTGGGGGAATTTCACAAACAGTAACACTGTGCTCTAGCCTCAAAGTTCCATGACTGTTTGATAATGCAGATACACGTAGCTGTCTCTCAGTACCCAAAGTTAGCATTTCCAGGGCTGTTCAGAAGTCTAAGTTCAAAGTCTCTTGACACTCAGGGCAGGCCCTTTGCTGTGAGACACTGTAAGATTAAAAGACAATTACATGGTAATTCTGGTGGGAACCCAAAAGATTAAAATGCCAGCAGGAGTATGGCGAGCCAGGCTTACGAGGTCTCACATTTCAGGGAGCAAGGATGCTTTGGAGAATCGGACTACAGGCAGAGGATTTGGAAAGAGTTGTCCCTGCCCTGAAACTTTGTCTCAGGCTAAATTTAAAGCCAACAGACTAATTAACCTAGTGGAAGAAATGTCAGCATTCAAGCTGTTGCGTGCTGTTTTGTTGTTTTTGCTTTCTGAGATGGGCTCTTGCTGTGTAGCCCTAGCTGGCCTGGAACTCTTAAGTAGACTTGGCTCCAACTCACCGACAGCCTTGGATCTTTGCCAGCCAGGTTCTGGGATTAAAGGCACATACCACTGTGCTCAGTTTATAGCATGGTTATCTGTAACTACTACTTACCAGCTTTACAGTTAGAATCAAGAACAGAAACTTAAGTTTGATCAAGTTACTGTGTTACAACGGACTTGGCTCACAATACACATATTGTTTTAAATTCTCTCAGATCAGTTCCACAGGTATCTGCACCACATTGTTGGGTAGTCACAGTGTGGCAACCCCACTGCTCTGGTACTAGTCTCAGTTACTTTTGTGTCAGTGTGACCAGAAGTCAGAGAAAAGCAATTTTAGGGAAGCAGAATTACTTTGGCTTATATTATTTGAGGTTTTAGTTTGTGATTGTTTGACTTCTTGTACTTGGGCAGAATACTATGGGCAATGGTGGTGTGTGACCAATGAGCTTTATTTTATAGTGATGGAAGAGGCAGAGAGGAAGTTGTCAAGGATAAGCATAACTTTCAGTGGTATCTCTCCAGTGACCTACTTCATCCAACCTAGTCCCCATGTTCTTGTAATACTACTGTATATTTATAACTTCATTTGTAATGCATATATAAGCATTTTTTAGGTCCTGGTGTGTACAAGCTTTTGAAATTGTGAAAGAATGTCATCTACAAAGTTCATGCTTGAGATTTGCACTGAACAGTTAGGATTTTTGTGTTGGGCTACATTCATAGCTATAACGAATGGCCATAAGTGGTCTTGGACCATAGGTTAAACATGCCCGCATGACTGAAATTGTTTTAAACTCCTGAAACTAAATGACCAACTTTATTAAAATTATCTTAGAATCTTAGGATTAATGTTTATAAATAATCTTTTTTTTTTTTTTTTTTTTTTTTTGGCCCTTTAGGTTTTTTTTATGAATTTTTGTTTTCAATTCAAAAAACCAGAAATGGAAAGTTCTGCAAAAACAGACAAATATGAAAAGATGTCTTTTGACAAGGCAAAAGTGTCCATAGATTCTGAAACAGAATCTACTCCGAGTGTTAATGAGTCTATTACTGCATCTGGGCAGAGGCTTTCTGAAAATATTCCTGCGGACCAGCAAGTAGAGAAACCAAAAAAGAGGAAAGAGTTTGAAGATGATCTTGTAGAGGAAAATTCAAGTCATGTGGAGGACTCTCCATCCAAGAAAAGAAAACTTGATGTTGAAATCATCTTAGAAGAAAAATGCTCTGGTGGTGATGGAGCTGATTCAAAGAAAAGGAAACTGGAAAGGGGTGACGTTTCTGAGGATGCTGCAGAAAAGCGGAAAGTATGCTCCGTGTATCTTATTTGTAATTCAGTGTGCTAACTACAAGTATGGAACAGCTGTGGCGAGACATGTATCTTAATGCACAATAGACTTAACACCCAAAATTAAAGTTTGTTAAGGTGAAAGTTGTGCTGTGATCATTTTCATGTTATTTTGGAACTCTTGTTTGACCAGAACCTTGAAAGCTGGTTTTTATAGTTTGCTTTTATTTTTTTTTTCAAGATGACAGTATGTGGCAGGGTTGATTTCTTCTATCCTTTTTTTTTCTCTTCTTTTTTAAAAGATTAATTTATTTATTTTACATGCATTGGTGTTTTGCCTCAGTGTATGTCTGTGTGAGGGTGGACCTGGAGTTATGAACAGTTGTAAACTGCCATGAACTTGGGCACACTGGAAGAGCAGCCAGTGCCCTTAACTGCTGAGCCATCTCTCTAGCTCCCTTTTTGTCCTTTTTTTTTTTTTTTATCAGGTGTTTCAAGTTGCCTGATCATCACTTAAAGTAATAAATGTCAAAATTGTGCCCAGCTTTATTCTCCTTTATTAATGTGCTAAACTATAATTGTTCCCAGCTTCTAGTTTGGTATACATAATATTTAGTATAATTTTGGTTAAGTTGATGTAAAAGACTGATATGGAGCAAGTGGTAACAAACATTTACCATATGGAAAGGATTCTTAGGCTGGGACTGGAGAGAAAGAATACTTTACAAATTAGTAACATTTGCTGTCAGGCATGAAGAAGAAAGTAGCAGGCCAGGCTTTCACCACTGGTATCCTTGTAAAAAGGTGAGCTAATAAGTTAGGCTTGGGTTTAAAATTTATACTGGCAGATTTTTTTTCTTATAATAATTTACCCTTAAATTTGATATGTAAAGTAAGTAAAGAGTTAGGTATTTTGAAAAGGGAGATGGCAGGTGCTGAAGGCCCTTACCTACTATGGAATTTTTATAGAATGCCTAGGTTTTTACTAAATGCAGATAGAAAAATTGTTGCATTAGATTAATAATGTATAATAAAAGTCCATGGTACTGGGTGTAACCTCCTAAATTCTAACTCGTGTGTGTATTATATAATCATATCAATAATTTCCTACTGATATTAAAGTGTAATAGTTTATCACTCTTACTCCCTTTTAGGAAGTTCATCTATTGACTGTAATTTATTATTGAATAAATCAAAACTCTGGAAAAAAAAGTAGTTTCCTTAAAACATGTAGCCTTAAATTATACAGGTAACAACCATGATGAAGACCTTCAGAGTGAGGGAGATAACCTTTTAGGTGTGGTAGAAATTGCTATATTTCTGTGGGTCCGCCATCGCTCTGTGAAATTCCCTTCAGTTGTGTTTGCTCCTTCCATAGTCAGGTGGTCTGGGGCTTTTGCTCCTTTCTAGATAATGCTCTAACTCTTGACTTTTGTCCTTTCGGTTTCAGAAGTTGGAGGAAGGACACAGCTCTGCCGTTGCTGCCCACTATAATGAGCTTCAAGAAGTGGGTTTGGAGAAGCGCAGTCAGAGTCGCATTTTTTACCTAAGAAACTTTAATAATTGGATTAAAAGTATTCTTATTGGTATGATTGTTTTTGCCCTTTAGTTAAAGAGATTTAAAATTTTATTGAATTACATTTTATGGTGCTGGACATTGATGCCAAGGGTGCCTGCATTGAAAGTGCTCTATTATGCTGATTCATGGCCCATTTCTTTGTTTTGTTTTTCCCCTCCCATTTTTAATCATGTCAAGTCAAAGGCCATTATTTGTTTTTCATTTTGTGATCACACTTTGGTTTTAAAAAACTAGAGAGCCAAAAGTTATTGTTCAGATAAGTTATTGTTTGCTTTTGGTTAATTATATGGGATATTGATAATGATTAGTTGATAGTTAAGTAGGCTTTCATTTGGCAGTGTGCTTCTTTATACTTATAGTTAATGTTACCCAAGGCTGTTACTCTAATAGTTTTAGTGTGGTGGCCTGTGGGATTGAACATTGAATTTCTGCTATGTCAAGAAAAGGACAGTGTTATGATTCTATCTACAAGCCTTTAGTAACTTGGCATCAGTTATCATAGAACTTGTTTGTCTTATGTGATTTCTGGGGGAAAATGATGTTTACTTTGAGGACTGAGAAAAACATACAGCTTTGGAGCTAAAATTTTGTCCATGGAAACTCACCTTTAAAATCAAAATAGAAATGAGTAGAGAAAAATAGAATTTAGAATGTAGTATTGCTTCCTCTAGTTAAGTCAGAATTGTATGTAAATTTAGAGAAATTTTTAGAGTACAGTTAAGTTTTTATAGTTGTTTTTTTTTCTTTGTGTCTGATTTTCAATTCATACAAGTAAAGTTTAATGGAAATTCTTCCAAGTTGACTTTAAAGAACGTTTATACATTTAGTATGTCGTTTTATTATTTTGGTAAATAAGTGTGAGAGTCATTGCAGAAATTTAAATATGGAGTAGTTATGGTGCTATTGGAAACTACTGTCGTATCTGTATCGAAAGGCAGAAATATTTGTACTGAATATTTTAGCCACCCAAATAATACTTACACAAATTATAAAATACACAGAGTGATAAAACAGGAAAAATATAAGTGTAAGATTCATTATTATATCAATTTTTAGTATTGCTGAATACTTCATTTATCACAGACTATTAATAAGCCTTTTAAACCACTGTTTGAACTTTTGCTTGTTTATGAGGTAAAAGGTAGTTTAAAGTTTTGGGTATTTCTTAAGCCTGACTATAGAGAATAGAATCAATTACTATTATCTATCTATAACTACTTCAGTTTTAGTGTATATGAAGTTAAGGATTGCCTTATGGGAAGAAATGGAGAAAGCTATAAGAAATAAAAGTTTCTCTCTTATCACAAATGTTAGTTTTTTAAAATTAGAACTTAAATGCTATCTATTTAATGTTGACTCAGATTTTGAAATTATACTTCAAAATCCATTTTAACATTGTAAAATGGTTTATGTGTACTCTAATGCTAAAGGATCAAGTTAGTTACTCTTGGATTTTGGAATACAAGACTACAAATTGATGATACATTAATGTATTATATATAATTCATATGCTTTGTCAGACAGAAGTTATTGGGTTTTTAAGAAGTTGCTGTAGTAAAAATAGAGAAAATGCATTATGATTGATTTCTCTCTTTTTTAGGGGAATTTTTAGAAAAGGTACGACAAAGAAAAAATCGTGATATCACTGCTTTGGACCTGGGATGTGGAAAAGGTGGTGATTTACTCAAGTGGAGGAAGGGGAGAATTAGCAGGCTAGTGTGTGCTGGTAAGACATATTTACATGGTAAAGTGTTATTTTGGGGACCAGTGAAATAGCTCAGTGGGTAAAAACATTTGCCACACAGCTCTAACAACCTGAGTTCAATCCCTAGATCCCACATAAAGGTGGAAAGGAAAATAACCTGCTTGTGCTTAGGGTGTCTCCCTTGTTCACATGCACACACACATATACAGTGAGAGTAATAATAACTAAATAACGAGTTTTAAAATCAGATATTTTGGCCAATTAGGTGAATGGGAAACTATAAGGGTCTGCTTGCCAGCATGATGCTAAGGTATCTTAAGGCAACTTTTTTCCTGAGACCTATGCATATGATAAGCATTTTGAAAAATGAAGGTTTTACTAGTGGTTTTTGTTCCAGTTAATGTTAACTTGTCCTTCCCCAGAGGAAGGACATACTATTGTTGTTCTTACTATATTATGCCCACCAGCCATCATGTTCTTTCTGTTTGATGGGTTGTAGGAAGTACAACAGCATTGCCTCCAAAAGTACTGCTTGAATCAGTAGTTTTTCAAGTTTTTTTGTTTTATGAGCCTTATATACTAAAAATATTACTGAAGAGTTAATGATTCTCTGTGTGGCTATAGCATTGATGTTGATCATGTTAGAAATTGAGGCTGTGATTTTAGATTTATTTAAATTTAAATTAAGTTTGATGGGAATTCTGGCAAGTTGACTCTAACAAGTGTTTCCACATTTAATGTGTCATTTTGTTATTTTGGTGACTAAGCAGTTATGAATGAAAGGCCTTTTCAGATAATTGTGGTTATTCATCTTCAGTGATCGGTCATCAAGTGGCATTTCTGTAAGGTTAGTTATAATGTGGGACCTGAGGCCTTATTGACACACGTTATGTATTCCTTACCTTCGGACTCATTCGTCTGTCTCACATTTTCAAAATGGTTTTATAATACCTGGGGAGTGCTGTTTACCAAGTTATGTAGATCTTATGACTTACAAGAAATCAAATTTGCTTAATATTATTGCCAGTCACAAAAGTAGTTGATACAAGGTTTGTTTTTCTTTCAGAACTGTAATTTTTATTTTTTTTACTTGAAAGTCAAATTTTATCTCTGGTAGCAAGTACTATGCATTGTGTCCCTTAAAATAACCCTGTTCATCTTCAGAAATACGTGTATAATAGTCAGCAGTTGATAATCATTCTTTTAAGTGAAAGTGATTTATTGCAAACACGTGACCAGTATTAGCTGCACCAGGCTTTTTCTTTCCGGCCACCAACCGGCTTCCAAATCATGACATAGGGACTTAATGTTTTGAATGCTTAGCCTAGCTTAGGCTCATTTCTGGCTAGCTCTTTTAACTTATCCTGTTTCTCTTTATCTGCCTTTTGCTTCAGGACTTTTTCCTTTTCTTTCTTGTATATCTTTTCACCACTTTTCCTGCCTGGCTAGCTAGTTGTGATCTCCCTCATTCTCTCCTCCTTCTTTTTCCCTTTTCTCTCGAGCCTAGATTTCACCTCCTATTTGTTCTCTGCCTGCCAGCTCCACCTGTCCCTCTCTTGCCTAGCTACTGGCCATTCAGCCTTTTATTAGATCAGTCAGGTGCTTTAGGCAGGCAAGGTGAAACAAATGCAACACATCTTTACACAATTAAACACACATCCTTAGGTCATTAAACAAATGCAGCATAAAAAAATATAACACACCTACACATAGTTAAAGTCATATTTCACTATTAGCTCACAATTCAGAAGAGATTATGCTAGGTGCTGCTGGTAACAAGAGAAGTCTGGTCTTTCTCCATGGTGATGTTCAGATGGCCAGGATTGACTTCTTACTGCTTCATGAAGAATATTCTAAATGAAGACTGGGTTTTCTTACTGGTGTGTGATAGTGAAGAACACAGGACACCTCCACAGTGCCATTTGGTGCCGCTGCTTTGCATGTCTTTACTCATCATTGCTCCTTCTGTCACAAGTGCAAATCTCAAAGCAAGGACAAGAACAGAAACATTCCAGTATTTCACAAAATGAGCTTATAGGTAGTGTTAGGTTTTATAGTTCAAATGGAATCTAAGTTGTCTGCGTCATATTTTGAATCAGCAGTTAAAACCTGGGGCTGGCAGGATTCTCAGTGCATAAAAACCCTTGCTGCCTAAACTGAAGTTTGATCCCCAGAACCCATGATGGAGGGAGAGAACCAATTTGTGAAAGCTGTCCTTTGGCTTTCACACATAAGTAATGATGACAAAATTGATCATCCTGGCATTTGCCTAGTGTCAGTACTGTTAAGAAAGCTTCTGCACTGAAACAAAGGAAACAAAACCTTTGTTTAAAAGAAACTAGATAGAACCTTACAGCCATTTCCTGTCTTAGGCTTGCATTTCATGCCCCAGTTTATCAGTTGAATTGCTATTCTGTGTTAACATTTACCAACACCCTTTTTACCCTTGTAGATATTGCTGATGTTTCTATGAAACAATGTCAACAGCGTTATGAAGACATGAGATGTCGTCGTGATAATGAATACATTTTTAATGCAGAATTTATAACTGCTGACTGTTCAAAGGTACAGAATCTTTGTTGTTTTAATTTTGAAATTTATTTTTATTTTATGTGTATGAGTGTTTGCCTATGTATGTGTTTTGTGTACCACATGCATACTTGGTACCCATGGAGGCCAGAAGATGGTATTGAATCCCCTGGAACTGGAATTAAGGACAATTATAAGCTGCCATGTAGGTTCTGGGAATCAAACCTGTATCCGTTACAATAGCAGCAGTGGTCTTGAATGCCTAGCCATCTCTGTAGCCTCATCTCTTAAAATTTGTTTTTTTCCTTCAGTGCTGGGGATCAGACGCAAGGCCTCGTGCATACTGCATCTCTCATCTGTAAAGTTGACTCATTTGTTAAAAATTTGATTTGAAACAGTAAAAATCTTTTTTTCTTTTTTTTTTTTTTCTTTTTTTTTTTGTTGATTTTTCAAGACAGGGTTTCTCTGTGGCTTTGGAGGCTGTCCTGGAACTAACTCTTGTAGACCAGGCTGGTCTTGAACTCACAGAGATCTGCCTGCCTCTGCCTCCCAAGTGCTGGGATTAAAGGCATCCACCACCACCACCCAGCTTAAAAATCTTAAGGCTTCATTTTTAATTTCTACTGGAAATTCTATTAAGATAAAGTTTAAGTACTTTAAGGAAAGTACTTTTAATAATTGGATATTTGAAATACCTTTGTTGCTTTTTGATTTGGTCAAGATTCACTTTCTAATAGTCATCCCTTAGTGTCCCTACGGCATTGGTCCTAGGAGCCCCAGAGTCCACAGGAGCTCAAAGTCACTTATATAAAATGGCATAGTATTTGTGGATAGTTACACACATATTCATGCATTCTTTAAAAGTGTGTTTAGTAGGGCGGTGGTGGTGCATGCCTTTAATCCGAGCACTTGGGAGGCAGAGGCAGGAGGATGATCTCTCTGAGTTCAAGGCCGGTCCGGGCTGGGGTCAGAGGGCTCCAGTTTTCACCTTCTACTTTGTTTGAGATAAAACCTCACTTGTTTGCCTCTGCTTTACATCCTGGGCTAGTTGGCCTGTGAGCTTCCAGAGGTTCTGGGTGTCTAACTCAGATACTTTCACTTATGCTGTCTACCCTGTTTTAGGCCAGGGTAAGGAAACTTTTTAAATATGTCCCTTGTTGTAATATGTACATGGCAAGAAAAAGAATAAGTCAGAGATTGATGAAAACTATTGGTTACTGTCAGGGAATGTTTACTTCAAGAACACCACATTCTAGTAATTTACTGAAAGCAACACTGGTAATCTGTGTTTTATTAGTTTTGAATGTTAACCCATTTACATTTGTTATAGGAACTTTTGGTTGAAAAATTCCGTGATCCACAAATGTGCTTTGACATCTGCAGCTGTCAGTTTGCTTGTCATTACTCCTTTGAGACCTTGGAGCAGGCTGATATGATGCTTAGAAATGCTTGTGGAAGGCTTAACCCTGGGGGCTATTTTATTGGAACCACTCCCAATAGCTTCGAACTGATGTAAGTAACTTAAATCCAATTAAAATCAAATACTTCTTAAAATTGTGTCATGTAGTTTTTCACATGTATGATATGATTGTTAGGATTGAAAATGTTAATCATAATTCTTTTATTTTAATTGTGGAATTACCCTAATAGAAGACGCCTTGATGCTTCAGAAACAGAATCATTTGGAAATGAAATATACACTGTGAAATTCCAAAAGAAAGGAAGCTATCCTTTATTTGGCTGCAAGTATGACTTCAACTTGGAAGGCGTTGTGGATGTTCCTGAATTCTTGGTGTATTTCCCATTGCTAACTGAGTAAGAATATCTTGATCTGTTGCTTTTCCTTTCCCCTCATCCCTTATCCTAAGGGGACAAAATTAATAATTGCCATTCATACTGTGTTTTAAATGCATCCCCAAGAAAAAGCCTTAGCTGCAGAATTGAGGCCCACTTTAAATAGCTTTCTTTCCTAAGAGAAGGGAGCCAGCTGCTTCTCAAGACAGAAGATAAATGACTCTACAGCTAGCAAACACAGATAATATAAAAATGAGAAAGTCTAAGATCCTTCCTTTAAAAGAGATTATTAGAAGTTTGAAACTGCCTGAGGAGTGGAACTGTTTTGTTTTTTTCCCCTCC